CTCCACGACGAACATTAGTCGTTCCTTCGACACCTTTACTATGTGTATGTGCATACCAGAATCAACCTCTATATAGTTGTAATATATTCCTTATTACAGTTAATTTACTTATTATTTGAAGTCACCAATCTTATACATAAAATTGCTAGAACTTTTTAAAACATAACTCTTAAAAAATCCTTTGGTTATAAGCTTTTGAATATTTCAGAAATCCCTTTTAAAAAATATATTTAACAACTATCATACTTTATGTCAACAAACACTATCATACTCAAGTCATATTATATTCTCGTCGATAGAAGTCTGAAAACAGAATCAACATTAGTTTTTCTTTGAAACATTTTTTAGGGTATTCTAATAATGCTATTGATCTTTTTATGTTGTGACTTTAATAAAAAAAAAACAAAAAAAAAAAAAAAAATTTTTTTTTTTTAAATTTTTTTTTTGTTTTTAAAAATTTTAAAAAAAAAAAAAAAATTTTTTTAATTTTTATATGTTTCTTTAAAATAAATCTATAAATAAAAAAAAAGAAATAAAATTTTTATTGGTTTCTTGTTCTAAAGAGGGGTGATATGTGATATAGAAGATTTTGTGGTAAATAGCTTCTTTCACCCATACTCTTACATTACGAATGTCCGGCCAAACTAATTATTCCGTTGTGAAAGAAAGAACGGCTTTTCTCTCGCTTAATCATCTGAAAAACTCAGTTAATGGTCAAATGTCTATCCGACGACCCGGAGAGAGTGGATGCAGTGTATTAGTATGTTGTTGATTATCATATATTACTCACATCTGTTTTACAATTTTAGTAGTTTATAACAACATCCTTCATTGCTTTTGTATTTCTACCTATTAATTTCGTAAATTTACCATACACTTGTAAGACACATGGATATTTTCTAATCCTCACATTACGTTCCAATTCATCTGTATTAGGGTACTGTGTTTTGCCAATTCAAGTTTATGACCATGATAAAACTCCCATGATGGAAAGGGATGACCAGACGATCACAACACGATCCGTGCGTCCTTTCCAAAGTTGCCCCTTAGCATGCGGGCAAGACTGAGGGAAGTACCTCGAAAACCACCGGCCAGAAGTAGCGGTCTCTCCATAGATTACTCACTTTACTGGTCGCCAAAATGTTTCGTTCCATTAAAACCGGGGAGCCTGAAGAACTGCTGCATCACAAAAATAATCGTAATAATATAAAACTCACTAAATTTTAAAATATCTAGTCTATGCCTAATGTGCTTTAAATTTTTTATATATACTAGGTAATTATTGTACATTTGTACATTAACATTTTTCTCGTAAGGTAGAGTGATGAAAAAAAATTGATTCGTCAATTAAGAAGCTATGAAACTAATGTACTGTATAGAGGTCTCAAATTCAGTCGATGTCTTGAGTTGAAGTACAGTACTAGTTAATCGATATTTACACACTTTTTATTTGGAATACAGTAACAGCACAAAGGTGTGAGACACAAGTTAATTGAGATGATTAAACTTCTGGATATTGTGATTTTAACATTTGAAAAACAGACGAAGAAAGTTCACTTCTCGAGATTAAACCATGTGAGTTAAGACTCCATTGTTGACATACTACTTATGCTTTTAAGACGGTAAATATTTGAATGGATTTTACTTAACACTTAGTTTAATTGACTGCGTAATCATTATCAATGATGTGATTGATATCAATCAGAAATAATTATTCGTATTAGGATTTAATATAAACTAAATATCGAGAGAAGAAATATGATTATAAGGAAAAAAATTGCACGTTTTCCATTACAATTTTGGATCATTTATTATATTTTAATAATAAAAATTTTTATATATTTTATCAATCCTGCCATGTTGAAAGCTACTTACCTATACGTTCGAAGTATTATTGTAGTGTATGTATAAATTAAGGCTTTTTTTGTTTACTATATTCTTGAACTTTTCGAGGAAGGATGTCAGAAAAAGACTCATATTAGATTTTCACTTCAGTGGGTTTCACACACTCGTTTTAAGTAGGGACTAGACGGTTGCCACCGCAAAAAATTTTGCCTCACCATATCCAATGTCATAAACATATGAGTACATAGCGGTTCTACTGTTTGAGGAAACTCTAGTTGAGATTCGTTCTAGTAAAAATAACGAGTCAATAATGAGTCTTTCTTATGAAATATTTGATCATATTGAAATAAATTAGTCTACACTTACGATATCGTCTTGGAAAGATTAAATGGCAGGTTTAAGAAAAAAAATTCCTCGTCATCAATCCTGTGGAAGAAACAGTTATTTATTAACAGCATGAAATTACGTGAGGTGCGGCATATCCTGATTCATATATTTAACATTGAAGATGTGCACGAAAATCAAACAAAACACTAGTTGAGTCATCTATGCGGAAGTACCGCCAAGAAGAACGCTTTGTTCATAACCTCCTAGGCCGTCTCCATTAATGCTTCCCTTCCTCAATTTCTCATTCGCAAATCTATCGATACCGAATTTGCTTAATTTTCCGCGTCCGCTAATGCGCCGACGTCAATTGCCTGGGAAGTTCTGTTGTTCTTTTTGTAGCGGTGGGGGTTTCGTTAAGGCGCCCGATGCTGTCGATCGACGCGTATCGATACACAAGGTAATTTCAAATCCGACGCTATTATTTACGTCTGCGCGGCAGCGGCAGCCTTGGCCCTCTATCTGAGAGGCACACTGGTAACGGCGGTCTGATGAACCAACAGCTCCTCGACGCGCGGCGCGAGGTCGAGGCTAGAAGCTCCGTTTGCGTCGTGACGCAC